CCGAGATACCAACTTCTACAACCCCCTTTCAAAATGTCTTCAGAAGGGCAGGTCCTTCAAAGCGGCAGTCTGGATATTATTTCTTGCTTAGTCCATAAACGTGCTTGGAAGACACTTCGGAACACTTAACTTACCCATTTTATATCATTGTTCGGTACGTCAGTTTGCCAGGATATTACCTCTATAATCATTCACTGTTCCTCCAGAATGAACACATGGACCTCACTTTATCATTAAGCATTTGGTTTGTGAAGCCACTTCAGATGTTCTCTCCTTTTGTAGTATGAATCAAACCCATTAATCTGATGGGATCATCGTGAATGGCTTCTACGTTTGCCATGTTTTCAGCAGCCAGCTGCTCGCTGTTGAGGTAGATGCTAACCTTGGAAGCCATCGTGGTGGGGTTAGATGATCTTTCTTCTTCATCTTCCTTTAATGAAGGGTCTGTCTTTCTCCTTGGTTTTCTGCGTTTTCCCTTGACACTGTGATCAAGTGAGGCATAACACATCTGATTGGCAGACTCCACCTAGAAGGAAATTCACTGCATATTTCACATTCATTGTTATGCTTGCTCTAAAAATATGTCTGAGACTTTGTGTATGTCTGCACTGTAATCATAGTAGCAGCTGAAGTTTACCCAAATTAGCTGCAAATAAACTCATTAAAAGTACAAATGCTTAAGCTGTGGCAGAAAACAGACCAACATAACCTAATGGTAAATGACCCTCATTCTTAGGGGAAGAGCAATAAGGAAAAATTCATCAAAGTATTACTGGAAAGATTCTCTATGGGAATGAGGGTAGCTGGTAGAATCACTCCAAGTTCTTTGAGATGCAAGACATTATTTGTTCTATTTTTGATCCCAGGTTTTTTTTTTAATTAGAATCCAGTTAGTAGCAACAACATTTTTTACAGGCTTTGTGCAGAAAACTAAAGATGGGTGATTCTTGTCTGTATGTGTAATCTCATTTCCAGTGCAAAATGTATAGTTTCTATGTCTCTCTCCTGCCTCTCTGTGTTTTTCAAGCCAAATTGTCAAACACTTTTGACACTGGAATTTTCATTTATTGTTCTGTTTCTGTGAAGTTAATGAAAACAAACGTCTAGATAGAGGGGGGAAGAAAAAGGGGGGGACATTTCCCCCCCGGAAGTATCCTGAGAGAGGCTGGAAATTGCTACTTATGAAATACCTGGAAATCAACTGAGGAAATTGATGTGAGGAATACTTCAATTACAGACAAAATTCAGCTGAAGCTTGCATGCTTTTAGGCATCCAAGTATCTCAACAAAATACAAATCAATAGAAAAACAGTCGTCTGTCTTTTGTTAAGGCGTATGGATATTGTGTTGGGCAGGAGAGAGTCAGTCAAATTCATGATTATCATGTGATGCAGCTTGGCTTTTTTGCACTTGGTTGATGTCCAAAATAAGTAAAATTAATTATTTATGTAAGCCATAGCAGTAGACAACAGGCTTAATTCAGCCTGATCTGCATGTCTGTTACAGAGCCTTGTCATACCATGTGGATGGCAATGAGCTGTCTATAATTCTCCGGCTCCCTCATTAATCACTCAGAACGAAGGGTCAAGTCTGTGCTTAAAATCCCTGATGAATTGAGACACTAACATATGGTAATTTTCGTGATGCACAGTGTGAAGGTTTTTGTTATATGTTGTCATGGCATAAACACAAGAACTCTGAGCCCATGTTGCTGTAATTCAGAAATCCAAAATTAAAATTTAAAATACCTGTAATTGGTTAACTGGCCTTTGAGGCTGGGACTTCATCTGCTCGTAACAACATTCCTCTATAATTTATCAAAGTAGAAAAATATTTTAGTTAAGACACTACTGAGTCTTAAAAGATCAGATCAACAGATTCTCCCTGTTACAGAACTAACTCCCCCCAGTTTACTTTGGTAGAAGTTTGTTTTGTTTGAAATGACACACAGATCTCTTCCTCTATAGAAGGGCAAATAGCTGAGAAATTCAGACACACATACTGTGAAAATGGAAATAATTTTCTGTTCATATGGATGGGCAGTTTCTCTTTATTCGCTAAGTGGGCATCCTTTTACACTGCTGGGAGGACATCTTGCAGTTAGGGGGTGACCACATGCTGATGTATTTTTCAGCATAGGCAATCTTTGCTTTGGCTGAGAAGAGGCTGTGAGTTGCAGCAGCTGGTGATTAAATTCTGTTCCTGACTCTCAGTTTTCTGTAAATTTAGTGCAAGTTATTTTCTCGTTTTAGCCATCAGTAGAACAGATTACTTCCTTACAGCTTTCAGGCTTTTGTCGTGTCAATGTATTTGAGTGTTGGCTTTGTTGAATTTATGCAAACCCTATATGAAAAAGTTGGGTTTCTTTTTTTTTTTCCCCTGCAGTTCAAGTACTTCAGTTTTGCTTAACCTCAAATAAAGACAGAAAAAAGCTGTGTTCATCAAATACTGCTTTAACCCTGCAAGGGCTTTGAGAGACATAGCCTCAGCATATCTAGCTCTAGCTGCAGTTATACGATGGTGCCTTTAGCGTGATATCTCTCTGCCAAGGACTAACTTCAGCCCAGTAAAGCAGAGAAGCAGCTATGTCTGTCCACCGTCCAGCCACTGGGCTTGTTTCAGCATATTTATCAATGTCGCTGATGATCTGTGGATAGCCCCAGCAGAGAGCCGGTGTGTGCTTGTTTCTGCCAGCTTCTGTAGGAGCGTTGGCTTTGGACAGTGAGTAAGATGTGTTTTAGATTGCTTTAACATGCACGGATCAAGCTGTTATTTCAACTGGTGCAGCTTTGCATGTAAAAAGCTCTTGTTTTTTGAGATATTTGGCTGAACAGGACTACTTGGACTGTAAAAAATCAAATTCAGCATGAGATCTGGTTTTACAAACAGTAGTGCAGTGTGATGGTTTGCAGTTCTACCCCAAGTAGGTATTAATACAGCAATTGAAAAGGGGTAGATTCTCAAATTTGCTATTTCAGAAACACAGAAAGTGTTGCTCAGGGAGCTTTTAACCATATATTTATTATAACCTCTGAACAGACATGTTCTTAAAGTGAAGCTTACCTAAAATATCTTGACTGAGATTGCCATAAACTGGGTCATCTTCTCTGCAATAGTCATCATAGCTACAAAGGGAATGGAAAAATACTTTTAGTTCACAGAATATGCTTTATTTAGGACACCACCGTTCTGCTCTAAGCACTTTACACACATAGAGCAATAGCAGCTTGAATGTGATTGAATGTGATCTAAAAAACAAGACCAGGGGAGTGCGGAAATATGAGTTCTGCAGAAGGGGAAGAAATGGCGACGTCCATATTCTGAAGAGAGACTTGTTATCTAGCCAAGAATTGAACGCTTCTTTACTGTAACTTAGTTCAGTATAAAGCTAATCTCAAGACTACGAAGCTACTGTTTGATATAGTTCTGGAAATGTCAATGACCGTTGAAGGGAACCCAGTTCGTGTCCTCTGAGACCACTTTGCAATACAAACTAAAGCACTAAGTGAGTCTTTTGGGGAGGTATTCTTAAAAAGTTTACTCAATTCAACTAAAATACTTATGTCGACACAACTGGAGAAGGCAAAAGCAAAGTTCAGCTTTGGATATTTAATGGTATTCTGTGTTTGGTTACTTGGTGTTGCTTAAAAATGTTTTCCAGCATGTTTGTAAAGATGGGAATTGTTAGTGGGAAGCACTGTGTAACCTTGTTCCTATTGCATCCCTATATTGCGCTTTGTCAGGGGAACGAAGCTGTGCAAGCTAACGCCACTTTTTCAGGGGTATTTTTTAACTGAACAGGCAGCAATAGACAAACAGAGACTTCCCAACTTCAAGTAAACTTGTAACTGAGGCTTGATTGGGGGGAACAGGTGAAGGCTTTTGTATTTTTTTTTCAAGAGCCTTTTATATTTGGATTGAGATGAGACTCTTTCCATCTCTGTTTTGGTCGGGGAGGCGGTTATATGGAAGAAGAGAAACAGACTTGTAACAGATCATGAGCTACCCAGCAGCTGTAAACAGGCTCTGTTTTATTGCTTTTGAACATCGTGTAAAAGAAGGGTATGAAATGTAAATACATGTAAATTATTGCTCCACAAACATTAAATATCAGACTACAATTTATCATTGTTTTCTGAGAGCTCATTTTAATTATAGGTTTATTGAGTTTGAGTGGTAGTAAACAGTGGTTTAGCTCAATATCTTGCACTTCCTTCAGTATATAAAATTATCATATTGGCATGCAATTATTTCATTGTTGATAAGAAGACTGGAGTACATCTCTGCCATCTGAATTATTTTTCCTGTTTTCTTGGAAAACTTTTTTTTCCATAACCAACCTGCTCTCCAGCATTTCCAGGCAGGCTGCGTGAGATATTGGTTTTCCTCTATGCCATCCCTCCAAAGCCATCTGTTATTATTTATTGCTTATTTCACTGTTGCCAGAAAGAACCTTTTTTTATCCAGCTTACCTTCGACTGTTGTCTTCATAGTCTCTATACATTTTAGCTGGAAAATTTAAAAAAAAAAAAAAA